GCCATGATCAGGAGGACGGGTGATGGGCAAATCCGTGCGTACGTCGTACGGTGCAGTGTAACAACAGAAATGCGCAGGGTTAACAGTCAACTGGTATGTAGACGTATACAATTTAGAGAAAAAGTTGCAAAATTAAGTCCTGCACCGGGAGAGCGCTACGAAAAGTTGCAAATATGGCTTTCTGACCAAAGCGCTCGCCACTCGGCACCCCTGCAGAACCGTCTCTGTACGTCTCTGCGCTGTTTCCTTACCGACACGCACGTATCTCAGTCCTTCCTCCCCATTATCGCAGAAAACACACACAAACACACCCGGAGCCGGCCGTGTGCACGATCGCTTAGCGCGCCGACTGTACTCTTCCACAACGGTAGCCTGTGACAGCCCCACTATTTGTTTAACAGTGTGTGGAGGCTCCCTGCCTCCCCCCTCTCTCTCTCCCTCTCTCTTTCTTCCTCCCTCCCTCCCCCGCCTTTTTGTCGAACAGTAACTCTTTGCGCATTGCGACGAGATCATAACATGGCCCTATCGAATGGACCTTAAGCGAAGGGGACGCCACCCGTCACTTTCGCTCTCCGTTTGTCTGTCGCCTCCCGCTGCTCTGCTCGTCGAGCTGCTCGTCCTTCAGGCGCGTGGGCCGTTGTTGGGCCCGTACCTTCGGCGGACAACAACGCGCGACCCCTCCCGACCGTACGCCGCTAAAGCTGACCTCAAAAGCTCTACCTGAACAACACCAACACCACAGCCCACACACCTGCCACCCACACGAACAACAACGACAACAAAACCAAGCACAAGTTGCCATCGAACGCCAATTTTTTTTCCCAGCTGCGCGTTTGAAACCTCTCTCCCTCTTTCTGTCTTCCAGTTCCAGTGCTTCCGTTAGCGCCTGCGGGGAGGCGACCCTGTTGGCCGCGGCGGCGGGGGCACTCCCCGGGGGAGGCAGGCGGCAGCGGGGAGCTCGCTCGCGCTCCGCTCAGCAGCCTTTTATATTCTCCCCAATCCCGAAAGAGAATTGGAGCCGAGCAGATTCCATTACGAGATTACCGCCCGTCGCGAGCGTACGGCTCCGCGTCGGGCGGCCGGGCCGGGCCCGGCCGGTTGTCAAGTCCATGCGAAAGGAGCTGATGACTGGATAGCGGTCAATGTCAGCCCTGGGCGTGGGGCCGCCGGCCGGCCCGGGGAGAGGTGGGAGGGGCCCCTCCGCCGCGCTCTGGCGCCAACAGCCGCTCCTCCGCCCGCCGCCGCCGCCGCCGCATCACAACACGAGAGCGCGGCCGGATCACACTGCTGGGGCCGTACTACGCAGCCCGACGTGCTAATGTGCGCCTTTTTGGCAACGACCTGGGTCAAACCACCGTTACAGCGGGGAGGGAGGGGGGGGGGGAAATCCGCGGAGGTACCGACCTGCAGGTCCAGGCCCTGCAGCAGGCCGCCGCCCCGGACCCGCCCGTCGTGTGGGCAGGCAGAGGCGGAGGCAGGCACCCGTCTAACCAGTCCGCGAGGGAGATCGGCCGGGGATCGGCGGGCCGGGTGGGGCGGGGTGGGGCGGGCCGCGGAGGAGCAGGGCTGAGGGGTCGTCTGAATGAGGGTTGGAGATCATCTACTGCTAGTAGAAGCGGTTCAGCGCCGTTCTTCGGCCTGTAAGGAATCGATTGGAGAAACGCGGAAGGGGCTGAGCCTGAACCCTGAACCAGGGGCTGTCAAACACAACGTTAGGTACGTATCCCAAAGTCATATCTACTGGTATCGTCGGCGCATTTACTACCGACAAGAACTTTTTTCTAAAATCGTTCTTTGCGGTTGCATTGAGCGAGGGGGGGGGGGACGAACTACCGTCCGCCAACCGGAACGGGAGGAAAGCCGTGCGCCCTGCCTCGTGTGGTGTGCGGCCCTATGTGGTGCGCACGCTGTGGGCAGGTTGTGGGCACCGCCCCCCGCGGTGTTGGGTCGGATGAGCGGAGGAGGGTGTGGGTGGACAAGGGTGGCTGGGGCTGGGAGGCCACGCTCGATACGTGCCCCGCTGTAGTGCCGGCCGGTGGTCGAGCGCGAGCGGGTGGTGCGCCTCCGATGGAGAAAGTCTGTTTCGTTTTTTCCCTTCCCTTTTCATTTTGCACGTGGAATGGGGACGGGTCGGCGTGCCAGCCGTGTGTGGGCCCGGTGGTGGCGCGCGGCCCATGTGGCCAGGCTTCTTTGAGGGCCACTTGGCCACAACCCCAATGGCCACGCCGGCCACGCCACACCAGGCCGCGTTTTGCCAACTGGTTAGGCAAGGCAACGGAACCGAACGGCGCGCGGGCTTTGGCGGGTCGGATCGGAGGATCGGAGGACCGACTCCCATTGGCGGACTATAACGTGTTGTTGGCAGTCTTTGCGGACGACAACACGGTGGTGGATCGTTGGGGTGGGGATCTCCCCCCCCCCCCCACACACACTTCCCTTTCCTCTGTGATCGACGACATGTTTACATTTCCCGTCGGAGAAAAAAAATCTACTTTTTGTGACAGAGATCTACTTCTTTCTCTCCCTAAATGAGAGAAAGTTTGCCATCGATATCAAGTCGATTCCGACCCGGCCTCACCAGACCGCTCCTCGCGACTCGCAAAAACAAAGCGGCGCCCGAGTGGGGGCCAGTGCCAAAACGTACAATGTGAAGCATCATATTGTTTCTCCTACCGGTTATACGAGCATTCCTGCACGAACCCGGCTGGCCCAGGAGGGGGAGGGGTGGTAGTTGCGTTTACGATATCATCCGGAAGGTCCCTCACCCCGTCAAGTCCGCCCGTCCATTATTTTGTAGGCCTGCAAAACTGCACGACCTGTGGCAACTCGATTTGCGAATTGTCCATTTCTAGCCCCGTCACATTTTCAGGTCTGTTGCGTTAAGAGCGCACAGTTTCCGTCTACAATATCTGCTAACGCGGCTGCGAGCCCCCTAAAGTGGACGCCGTCGACAGGCTGAGCCAGCCGGTGCGACGCCGGCGCGTGGGCTGTCGCGGCGATACACAAAGCACTCGCAATGGCGCTCATACAGGACGACTCACGACTCGCCCCGTGTGTCAGCTAATGGCACAAAACAGCGGTCAACGCCCAGCAGCGGAGGACTATGCGGCCAACTGCGGCCAACGGCGCTGGCAACCACCTAGGCCGAGCTCCACCCTCTGAGCAGCCGGCTGAGTTACGCCGTTGTGTAAGCCCCCGCCCTGTCTCGTCCCACCCCGCCCCGCACAGGCGTGCGCGTGCGATTCGATCTCCGTTGATCCGTTCACCGCCGGACCAACCGCCGCCAGGGCGTAAGGCGGTCGCTCCTATCCACGAGAACGCGCTCGCCATACGTCATGTGGCTGGCACGTCCGCGCTCCGAGCGCGTCGCCACGCCCCTCACCGCCCCAAAGAGTTCGCGCGTCGCCGCGGTAGGCGCTGCTCGGCGCTGCTGCTCGCCTCCCAGCAGAGGTGAACGCCCGTCCAAGAAAGAGAAGGTGGAGGCAGCAGCAGCGACCGCCGCCAGCGAGCTGACAAAGAATCTGCGATGTATATGTGTGGAGAGAGAGAGAGAGAGAGAGGGAGGAAGGGAAGGGGGGGGGGAGTGGCGAACGGACGGACAGACGGACCTGCGAAAGGAGAAGAAGGCGCGAGGGGCAGGAGGCATGTCAGTGTCTGATGAAACGCAACAGTCAAGTTGTTGACCCCTTCTTGCTCTGGCTTGGCGTTGTCTGGCCCACCGCGCCTGGTCCAGGCAGAG